TAATTACTTATTCTAGTTTAAATGAATTAAGTAATGATGATTCTTTCATATATTTTTTTTTTATCTTAACATTATTTTTATATCTTCGTCAACATTTCATCTCTACTTTTGCTTAAAATAATTATCATTAATATTGTCATCAAATATAGTTTTGTAATGTCATCATTTTACATCATACTCTTTGAAAAATAATTCGAATTTTTTATAACTATAATTTATAATGATCATTTTTTTTATTGTAGATTGGAAGCTAAAACATTATGTTTGAATAATTCGTTCTCAATTATTTTGATTATAGTGGTTGCAATTAGCCATATTTGCAAGTATAACATTTCATAATACCTAGATATATATAATTTTTTCTAGTCATAATGACATAATGACATAAGAGACACATAAATATTTGAAAATGTCTTTAAAGTCATAATTATTTAAAAAAAAAAAATTACATGAAAAAGCTTAGGAATAATAACATCTTTATTGATTAAAGATATACATCTATCTACATATCTTGTCCAACATAAATTATTGTTGCATCTCCTAAAATTGTCATACATGCATTATCTTCGTTCCCAGATTTTCAAGACTATCCTAAATGTGAAAATTTAATGAGTCTAGTTTTAATGAATGATTCAACTTTAAAGTAAATTCACTATTTATTTTTATTTAATTAATTTTAATTGTAACTATTTTCTAATGAGTACACATATTATAAAATTAAAGATTTAAAATTGAATTTAGTTATTTTATTTTATTACTGTAATTAATCTATTTTTGTTTATATTACAATTCAGTAAATGCTATTTTAATTCATGTAACACATTATTATAAAAGACATTTACACTATACATACTATTAAGAGGTAAACATAAATCATATTATGCATATTGTTTTAGTGAATAATTTAAACAAATATATATGTTAAGATCATATTCTTTTTACTTAACAAATAACTTTTTTCCATTGAAAGTTGACATTTTGTATGTTGAATAATTATATTTGATTCAATCATTCTTAAACATATGCATGTTCACTAAATTGTTCATGTTTAATTGTTTTAATACTATAATAAAAAAATTGTATGGTAAACAATATAATATTTAGAAATTAAAGATGATACTTTAGTGGTGCATTATATAATTCACACTTATGAAATATCATATATTTTATTTAAGAAATCTTAAAATAATTTTTCTCTTACATTTTAAAATGCCTTTAAAATAACCAAATCGAAACCTAACATCATATGTAGATTAATTCAGAATAATATAATTAAGAATAAATTAATATTTAAAATATATTAATTTGTGTAGGTAATGTTTTGTATGTGTAAGAATTAAAAGATTTAATTAAGAATTAAAAGTAAAATATAATAATTAAAAGTTGTAACTTCCTAGCATGAATAAGAAAATTACATTAATAACCTTAACACTTATCTTTTTATGAGGATATTCTTGGCAATTCAAAAGTTTCAAGAAACAACTCACACTTTTAAGGGAGTTATAGATAGATAGATTATATATTATAGATATAGATAGATAGATTATAGATAGATAATTTATAGATAGATCATTAAAAGTAACCATTTTTTTTTGATTATCGTGTATGTAATTATGTTACTAGCTAACTGATTTTACAAACTGCAACATTTTGGTATCACTAGGAAGATGCACGTGCTACGCACGTGGTAATTTTTTTTTTAAAAATTATTTTTAGTATTATGTTTATATTTAAAAGTATAATATAATTTTCTTTAATTTAGTTTAACAAAAAATAGTGTATTTTATTGAATGCAGAAATATAGTATTTAATACTATTATTTGAACTCTATGATGAATAAAATTAAAAAAAAAAAAATTGGGTTGAAAACCAAAAAATAAAATTGATATTTTTTTAGTGAAAATGTAAATGCTAAAAAAATTTATAGTATTTGATTTTGTTATTTAATGATATCTTCATTGTGCTTAAAATAATGATCACTATTATTGTCTTGATAATATAGCTTTCTAATGTCATCCTTTTACATCATACTCTTTGAAAAATAACTCAAATTTGCTATAACTATAATTTATAATGATTATTTTTTATTTGTTGTCTATTGGAACTATGTCTAAATAATTCGTTCTCAATTATTTTGATTACTGTGGTTGCAAGTGTAATTATATTTGCAAGTATAATATTTCATAATACTTAGATATATATAGTTATTCCCTAGACATATTTAATAAGAGATACATAAATATTTGAAAATGTCTTTAATTCAAGTCGTAATTAACTAATTATTTCAAAAAGAAAATTTACTTGGAAATCATAAGAATAATAACATCTTTATTGATTAAAGCTACCCATCTATCTATATATCTTTTTTGACATAAATTATTGTTGCATCTCCTAACATTGTCGTACATCCATTATCTTCATTCACGAATTTTTTCAAGACTATCCTAAATCCGAATAATTACTATTTCCAGTTTAAATGAATTATGTAATGATGATTATTTCATATTTTTTTTTATCTTAACATTATTTTTATATCTTCGTCAACATTTCATCCCTACTTTTGCTTAAAATAATTATCATTAATATTGTCATCAAATATAGTTTTCTAATGTCATCATTTTGCATCATACTATTTGAAAAATAATTCGAATTTGCTATAACTATAATTTATAATGATCATTTTTTTTTATTGTAGATTGGAAGCTAAAACATTATGTTTGAATAATTCGTTCTCAATTATTTTGATTATAGTTGTTGCAATTAGCCATATTTGCAAGTATAACATTTCATAATACCTAGATATATATAATTTTTCTCTAGTCATAATGACATAAGAGACACATAAATATTTGAAAATGTCTTTAAAGTCATAATTATTTTTTTAAAAAAATTACATGAAAAAGCTTAGGAACAATAACATCTTTATTGATTAAAGATATTCATCTATCTACATATCTTGTCCAACATAAATTATTGTTGCATCTCCTAAAATTGTCATACATGCATTATCTACGTTCCCAGATTTTCAAGACTATCCTAAATGTGAAAATTTAATGAGTCTAGTTTTAATGAATGATTCATATTTAAAGTAAATTCACTATTTATTTTTATTTAATTAATTTTAATTGTAACTATTTTCTAATGAGTACACGTATTATATTTTCCGACATAAATTATTGTTGCATCTCCTAACATTGTCATACATCCATTATCTTCATTCACGAATTTTTTCAAGACTATCCTAAATGTGAATAATTACTAATTCCAGTTTAAATGAATTATGTAATGATGATTCTTTCATATTTTTTTTTTATCTTAACATTATTTTTATATCTTCGTCAACATTTCATCCCTACTTTTGCTTAAAATAATTATCATTAATATTGTCATCAAATATAGTTTTGTAATGTCATCATTTTGCATCATACTCTTTGAAAAATAATTCGAATTTTTTATAACTATAATTTATAATGATCATTTTTTTTTATTGTACATTGGAAGCTATAACATTATGTTTGAATAATTCGTTCTCAATTATTTTGATTATAGTGGTTGCAATTAGCCATATTTGCAAGTATAACATTTCATAATACCTAGATATATATAATTTTTTCTAGTCATAATGACATAATGACATAAGAGACACATAAATATTTGAAAATGTCTTTAAAGTCATAATTATTTAAAAAAAAAAATTACATGAAAAAGCTTATGAATAATAACATCTTTATTGATTAAAAATATTCATCTATCTACATATCTTGTCCAACATAAATTATTGTTGCATCTCCTAAAATTGTCATACATGCATTATCTTCGTTCCCAGATTTTCAAGACTATCCTAAATGTGAAAATTTAATGAGTCTAGTTTTAATGAATGATTCAACTTTAAAGTAAATTCACTATTTATTTTTATTTAATTAATTTTAATTGTAACTATCTTCTAATGAGTACACATATTATAAAATTCAAGATTTAAAATTGAATTTAGTTATTTTATTTTATTTCTATAATTAATCTATTTTTGTTTATATTACAATTCAGTAAATGCTATTTTAATTCATGTAACACATTATTATAAAAGACATTTATACTATACATACTATTAAGAGGTAAACATAAATCATATTATGCATATTGTTTTAGTGAATAATTTAAACAAATATATATGTTAAGATCATATTTTTTTTTACTTAACAAATAACTTTTTTCCATAGAAAATTGACATTTTGTATGTTGAATAATTATATTTGATTCAATCATTCTTAAACATATGCATGTTCACTAAATTGTTCCTGTTTAATTGTTTTAATACTATAATAAAAAAATTATATGGTAAACAATATAATATTTAGAAATTAAAGATGATACTTTAGTGGTGCATTATATAATTCACACTTATGAAATATCATATATTTTATTTAAGAAATCTTAAAATAATTTTTCTCTTACATTTTAAAATGCCTTTAAAATAACCAAATCGAAACCTAACATCATATGTAGATTAATTCAGAATAATATAATTAAGAATAAATTATTATTTAAAATATATTAATTTGTGTAGGTAATATTTTGTATGTGTAAGAATTTAAAGATATAATTAAGAATTAAAAGTAAAATATAATAATTAAAAGTTGTAACTTCCTAGCATGAATAAGAAAATTACATTAATAACCTTAACACTTATCTTTTTATGAGGATATTCTTGGCAATTCAAAAGTTTCAAGAAACAACTCACACTTTTAAGGGAGTTATATATATATATTATATATTATATATATTATATTATATTGTATATATTATATATATTATATTATATAGATAGATAGATTATAGATTATAGATATAGATATAGATAGATATATTATAGATTATAGATAGATAGATAGATAGATTATAGATATTATGTTAAATGTTCTTGTCCAAGTCCAACTTATATTGATCAAGGATATACAGTACATGATGAAGATATTTCTTGCTCTAATCGGAAGACACTAACATTACTCGTGAGGCGCACACCATTCTTTAAGCGTCGGCGTTGCAACTCCAATGTTTCTCATGTCGGCAATGTTTGCTGGAAGACGAAACGGATAATAAAAAAACGACCTCAGAAGTTAAAAACAAATTACGAAACTTTCCCCTTCATGCTCTCAAGTACATTACAAATACCCCCTCTTGAGGGTGCACTTCTGTAAGCTATAAGCATGTGTGTGATGGTGTTCATTTGTATTTTGAAAAGATACAGAGCTTTTTCCCCTAATTAGAATAATTCGAAAGCTTTTTTTTTTTTTCCCCTCATTTACTCGAGGAAATAAAGGGATGCCAGTGATCTACTGCAGTGCCTGATTTCAAAATTATGAGAAATGCAATTTTCAAGCAAAAATGGAGTTTCTTTATGCTTCACGATAATGAAAAGAAACCACACCACAATCTTTGAAAGTGAATTCGTCATATCAATTACACAATGTATATTTTTAAAATTTAGACAAAATCAGGTTTGGAGAGTGCAATTTGTAAAATACAAAACAAATCAAGGTGTCTTATAAATTGTGGAAGACTTTTTCTTTTTCATGCATTTTCTTTGTGATGGAACCTTAATTCAAATGAAATTTCACCTAATCCTCGACATGGTCTTTCTTTCTTCAAATATTCAACAATTGAGCACTAAGAATGGCACCTATGATCTTATAAACAGTAAAGTAACGAGGATAATTGATCTTTACCAAGATGTATTTCGGGTGTAGCAGCAGCAGCCGCATCAACAATAACAGTAACTGTATGATAATCTAATGCAACCGCATCATAGACAGTCTGACGGATGCAATTTGGAGTTTGTACACCTAAAAATAGTTTAAACCAAGAATCACAAAATAGTCTGAAAAACTACTGAACTACTGTTTGACAGAAATATGACTCAACGTATTTTACAATTATATTTCCCAACCTTTCTAAATACAGTGAAACTAACACAATTTATTCACCTGCATATATATATATACCCCTTTTATTTTGTAAATGTCACAAGTACTAATATGAATACTTAGGGTTGCTATAATTCTTTGACAAGTTGAGGGGTGTAACTGTAAACTATGTCATGACTCCAGTATATCCTATCAGATAAACTAATGCCTGCGGCAAAATGTAAAAGGAATTTAAACTTGATGATATTTTGGTATATTTCAAAGGCATCACAATTTTTTTTTAATAAATACCCACAAAAAATATAGGATGTTTTTTGCAATTACCCCCTATTTATAGAACAAAAAATAAAACGAGAAGAAGTTGAAGACTTGAATTCATTACCGGTGACTACCAGATTAGTTATTCCAAGACCCTGAAGATACGAATGGAGGTGAGTGTTGAAAAACGCACTAAACCTCGTCTTCACGAGCTTGTAATCACCATCTTTGATCACTAGGCCGTCAACCAACTGTGCACCCACACTACCCTTGGAAGTTGGTTTTGGTT